ATGACATAACTGTTCCCTTTATGCTCTATCTCCTGCTGTGGAGACACAGGTCTAACATAAATCATTTTGTCCCAGTGCTTTATTTGAAAGGAGAAACTGTCTCAGTAAAGAAATCAGACCCTCATAGTGGAGGCCAATAAAGAAATGCCTTGTGCAGTGGAAACAGTCTCCCAACACTTAGCCAACTAAGTGCGAACATGATCTCTGCATTCACAGCACAGGAACGGAGTGACCCTTTGAAGTAACTTAATCGCATACCTGAGCATCCCCTTTACAGACCAGAAGGGAGGGAGGCTGCGTGATTTTCACCAGTGACTGAGTCACTTCCAAATCACAAGCTGCTAAAGAGACGTCCGCTGGCTGATTGCTCAGATCAATGACACTCCCAAGTCAGCTACCACTTTTAAAAACAGTCTCTGCTTTTAGAACGTAAGACAACTCCTCTTTCATACAAATGCACTCCAAACGTCATCTCTGCCATCCTGGGCCTGCTGAGGCCCCGGAAACGGGGACAGGGCCGGAATGTGTTGATGGGAAAAATGAGAGCTGCCAATTACAGGGAGTGTCCACTCATCTGGAAGTTTCTAAGAGGCCAGCCCAGCACAGTGCAGGTGAAGGAGCTGGCCAAGAGCTGGAGATCAGAGACCATCTGACTTTCAACATATTGGCTATGTGATCTTGGGCAAGGGTCTCCCAACTTAATATCATACCTGAGCATCCTCTGCTCAGATGGTGGGTGCCTCCCACCCCCTGCGCTGAAACTCAACGTCCACACCTGGAAAAGGGGGCTCCTCACACTTCCCCAAGTCCACCCTCCACTCCCCACCCCTGCTCTGAACTTCAGTGTCCACACCTGGAAGAGGGGGGTTCTCACACTCCCCATCACCAAGTCCACCCTCCAACTCCCACCCCTGCTCCCAAGCCTTGCTTTGCTTCACTGCCCTTCTGGGCTCTTACAGCAGCTTCTGGATCATTTGTCTGTCTACACAGCCAATTCCGCCTGTCCCCCTCCCATGAGGGCTGGGACCCTCCCTGTCCTATCCCTGCCGAATCATCCCAGAGGCTTAGCTGTGGGATCTATTTGGTGAAAGGAATTATATGAAAAGTTTCATGCAGATGGCTTTACACATATGGTAATTCATTCAACAGCTGCAGAATGAATGCATGACACGAGTACCTGAAGGAGCTCTGTCCGCCTCACCTCCAGCCTGGGGACCTGGCTGCAGGTAAGATGGGCACCCATCAGTTCTCAGTCTTTGGACCCACAATGGGTGTGGCTCCTGTGCCCTGCTCTCTGATGCTATGACACCCTTCCCAATATATGAATGCTGGGCCAGATGTCACGTTTCAGACCTCCTGGAAGCACACTCACCCCTATCATACTTCTAGAATTTGAGCCCAGATTTAAATACCCAGGCTGGAGAATCCTCTCGAAAATTCACAAGACCTGTCGACCCTGTTTTCCCCATACCTGGCCGGAGCTGAGTCAAGGCTGTTCCCTGTAGACTGGCATGTTCAGGACATCCTCACCTGTTCAGGACAGCCCTGGGGTCTCCCTCTTCTCCCCAGCCCCCTCCACTAGCAGGACGCCTTCCAGCCGAACTCGAAATGGCTCAGACCACCACAACCCAACACGAATCTGCAGCTTCCCCTACTGCAGACTCCTGGGGCCCAGCCGGTTAACTCGGAGCTTCTTCTCTGCTGTTTCTCAAGAACCAAATAAGTAGAATCTGCTTCCCACTCTACCAACCTTCCCTGAAAACACTTCTTCTTGACGCAGGAATTAATCTTCTCTCTTCCAGGCATGTGAAAAATCAAATGCTTCTGACATCTCACCTTTCCTGGCCTGGGGCAGCAGCAACCAGGGATGACAAAGGCGTGGAAGGAAGCTGCAGCCCTCACAGCAGCCAGGGCCACCCACCGTGCTGGGTCCCTGGCCAGACAGTGGCTCACACATGGGAGCTCTGCTCATTCAAACACAGCAAGGCACACATGTGACCACTGCGGGCAGGCCTGCCTGCCACCCCCTGTACAATATCCTAGATGAATTACCCCTGTATGCTTCACCTACAAGCCAGCTCACTGCAATCGTGCAATGCCCAGAGGAGGGAGACGCAAAGACAGGGCTGGACACCTGCAGAGAGCCCCTGAGCTGGCTCTCCTGGGGAGCTGGACTTTGGAGGGCAGCGTAGACCTGCAGCTCCACCTCCAGCTCACCTGTGCACCCACAGGAAGGCCATGACAAGCCACTTCAACTCGCCAGCTCAGTGTGTCCATCCAGGAGGTGGCAAGAAAGAAAATCTTCTGACAGTTCCTCAGGAATATGGGGGAGAAAAACTTGCCTAGTAAAAACTACCTACTTAGAAGGCACTTTTATCTCTATGCTACTTTGAATAAAATCATATAGGATCTATGAATGTCTTCATGTACCAATCAAGAGATCCTGGTTCAACATTGAGTTTATAAAATTAGTAAGTGCCATGCACTGAAGGGGAGGGCTCCTGATTTTGCAAGGTTGCGGGTCGGGGAAGGAGGAGCAGGAAAGCGGGGAAGGGATAAGGGTCCAGCAAGGTCCGAGGAGGCCCAGGAGAAACGCCGGGCAAAGCTCTAGGCCTCAGTTTACTTCATGGCACCTCAGGGGGTGCAAATGCCCTCCAAGGCCTTTCTTCCCCAACACTGGGTGTCTATCCTAACCCACCGAGGTATCCCACACCACTCAGGAATTGCAGCTGATAAAGACGGGCTGGGGGCACTGCTAGGTCGCCCAGAGGCAGGTGAGCCGCTCTGCTCAGCCTCAGGCTTGCCACATCCCTCTGCGGGGCATCCCGGAGCCACACTTCATTCCCGAGAACTCGCTACCAACAACTTACCCAACGTGAACAAGGCGAAGGTGCCCAGCTGTCACAGCCGCTCCGCGAACGCCGGGAGACGAAGAAGGTCCCCTGCCCCCAGGAGTTGGTCCCAGCCCCCAACCTGGCCGCCTCCTTTGCGGACTTCCCTACGCCTGTCCAGCCGCCAGCAGCCGACAAACCGGCCCCACAGCCTTCCATGTCTATACCCGCCGTTCCAGCCCCGCCGGCCGGCGCCGGACACAGGGCAGGCGGGCAACATGGGCACCTGGACCGCGACGGGGCGGTCAAGCAGCTGTGCCCAGGACCCGGGCGGCTCCGAAGCCTCAACATGCACACACTCGCGCGCACGCCGGCCAACTGGTTGCCTGGAGGAGTCGGGAAAGCGCTTCCACCGCTCTTCATTTATTCATTCCCACAAAGGCCAGGTTCCCTTCGCCCTGGCGCCTCCATCCTGCCATCCCAGGGGGCCAATTGCGCCACAGCCCGCCACCCAGCCACCCACAGCCACGGCGTCCTATCTCCGGCACACACAACCCAACAGACTCGCATTCCATCTCTACAGCCAGCATAGCCTCCGCGCCCGGGCCGCTGCCACCCGGCTCCCCAGCTTAGCCACCCCGCAGCCCCGGCTCCCCGCCTCCGGCCCCACTGCGCGGCTCAGACCTGCCTCGCTTGGCTCGCCGCGCCCAGGCTGGCCAGGGACGCCGCCGCCACCGCTGGGAAGCTCCGGCAACTCCCAAGTCACGCCGCCTCCAGAGAAGCGGCGGGGCGCAGGGAGGGGACAGCAGTGGGGGCGGGGCGGGGAGGAGGGAGGCGGAGGGGGCGGGGAGCAAAAGTTCACACCGCTCGGGGCTCAGCCGCGCCCCCTTCTCTTCCCAGGCCCGCCCCCACGATCCCCCCTCCCTGAACCGGGTGCGTCGGGCATCTGCGCCGGAGAGCTCTGGCCTCCCCGCCCGGAACGGCCACAAGGCTAGAGCCGGGGTTCTGGAAGCGGATCCGAGCTGAACACCAGGGAGAGTGACACATGCCCACTTAACTGCCCCGGGCTGAGCCTGGAAACTTCCCCAAAGTGCGAAGGGGGTGTGGGGGCGGAGCGCCAGGCAGGGGGGAATCCCTGTCCCCCACCACCAAACGACGCGCGCTCGCACCGTGAAAGCAGCAGTCGGTCGGTCGATCGGTCCCCCTCCTGCGGCTGCCAGAGCTGGGCGGTGCAGGGGCGTCCCGATTCCGTCTCCTGGGGTCCTTTTCTCGGACAGCCAGCCGGTGCGCGCCCCGCGGCGTGCGCCCCCAGCCGGCCGCCGGATATCCACGGCGCCACCACGCCACCGCTCCGTCCCCGGTCCCCTCGCTCCGACCGCGTCCTCTCTGCGAGGGAGAGGGCGTGCGTCACCGCTGGGCAACCCTTCCAGCCGGGTCCCCAAGCGCGCAGGATGCCCGGAGCGCGGCCAGTAGCAATGGCAAAGGGATGCCTCCCGCTGGGGATCGCGGAAGCCTAGGGGAGGCCGGGCCGAGGGGCGCGGGGCCCAAACCTGCCTTGGCTCGTTGCGCTTGCAAGTTCATTGTTTGCCTGGGCCGCCGCCGCCGCCGCCGCCGCCGCGCGGGGAGAGCAGCGGGGAGTGAGGCTGCGCGCAGCCTCCGCCGACCAGAACTCCCTATGCTCAGCCCCGGCCGCCGCCAGCGCTGCCCGGCCGGAACCCGCGGAGGGGCGCGGGGGCCCCAAGCCCAGAGCCAGACCTCCTTCCGCTGCTCCTCGCCGCCCCCACCTCGGCGTCTGGCACCCAACTTGTACCTGAGAAGCCTGAGTCCAGCCGGAAAGCCTCTGCGGCTCCGGCTCCGCGGGAGCGCGCCCAGCCCCGCGCCGCGAGCCCAGCATCCAGGGCGCGTCAACCTGACTCCCCGAGCGCAGGGAGGAAAAGTTTGGGAGTGACGTGCAGACGACGAATGAAACATCTGAAGAGAACCCTCCCCCCGCCCCATGTCGCGCTGACACACTTCAGCTCGAGTCTGGAATGCGAGATCAAGGCGTGTGCGCCGAGCGGTGGGTTTGGCCCCCGCCCCCTTCCCCGCCGAGTCAACACTGCTTGTGTGTTGCGGTGATTCCAAATAAAAGCACACCGCGACTCCCGAAGTCTGGCAGTGACACCTTACCAGAGGCATTTTTAAGGCACTTGGAGGTCTGGAGCCAGCCCATACATTAATATTGAAAGACAGAGCGCTGGTGGGTTCGGCGCCCTCTATTGTATTTTTGCATCCCAGGAAGGCTGGCCCGGCTCTTCTGCCCGGCGTGTTTGCTTCCGCGGGGAGGTAAAGGTCTGCGGGACCCGGAGCGCCACTGCCTGCCGCAGAGGCCTGGAGGCGGCTGCCCCAGGGAAGCACCTGGACAGCCCGAGGGCAAGGAAGCCGCACCAGCGGCCGACTCCACTGACTCTGGCCTGAAGATGCCATCAGTTTAAGAAAAGACATGAAATTCTGGCAGATTCGCTCCGAGGGCGCTTGGAGCACCCAGCCCAGCCTCTCAGGAAACTGAGGTCCAAGAGACAAAAAGAATCCGCAGTCCTTTGCCCGCCTGTGTTCCCATGGCCAGGGTCCAGCACCCTCTTCCTCGAAGCAGCCAGAAGTGGAAATGAAAGTGCTCCGTTAACTGTAGAGTGCACACCACCGAAGGGTCATTGCTGACACTGCCTTCTTCCTATTAGCTCTTTATTGCCGGAGGCTTCATCTCACCCTCCTGAAGCTACAATCCACCCTGAGGTCATAAACTTCTGCTCAGCATCCATGGCAACTAATGCAGAGGTCACAATCAGAGAATTATAACTGCAGATGGGAAACTGGGATGAGAGGGGAGTTCTTTAAAATCCTGTCTTGTTTTCCTGCAAATAATGCCTCTTACATAAAATCTGCGAGGAAAGATTAATGCGGCAAAGAGACTCGCCTTAGAATCTCAGACTAGATTGCTTTTTCCATACAGACGCCACTTGGTGATTTTTGTTCTTTATTATTTTTTAAACAAAAACCTTTTTCTGAAAATACAATGAGCTGCTTTCTGCAGGGTTCACAATTCCCAATAGATGATGATGCCGTTTTTGAAGGTCTTACACACGTTGTGGCTTTGGGGCTTATTTATTAGCTCCCAAGAAAAGCCTGCCTTTCAGTGAGGTTTATATACTGGAGTAATTGCATCGGGGGACACAGAGCAGGTTGCTGTTAAAGAGGGTTGGTTGTGCATGCGTCTGCAAGGAAGGCCCTGGGCCAGGCAGCTGTCAGACCACTGTACAACGGGTTTAAACAAACACAGGGAAGGGTCTGTGGAAACAGCGAGGAGGAAATCCCCTCCAGTAAGGGTGTGTGGAACATTATTCCAGGGCCACACATACTGCGATGGAATCATGCCCTTCCTCTCCTCCCTCCAAGTAAACACATGACTCTGTTATGGAGATGGCGCGGGGCCCACCCAGATCACTTTCAAATTCAGGTGTCAGAAACCACCGTTGACATGGAGCAAATTGTTTTTAAGTAAAAATCACGGTGCCGCTTTGATACGAATTCCACCAGGGACTTTCCAAAGGTATTTATACACGTGCCTGAGATTAACTAGAGGGTGATTTTTTCCCCTCAACCTTAATTTCAAAAAATTACCCAAGAATTGCACTTGGGCCTGTTATTGCAGAGAATTGAAAGAACACCCAAATGCTGGGTCCCTGTGGATGGGTGAAAGGATAGGCAAATAAATGTGTAACTGCAAGGGAGGTTGGTACCGACATGGTATTAGCAAGTCATGGCTGGAAAAAAATGCAGATACTGGCCAAGCACACCTGTAATCCCAGCACTTTGGGAAGCCAAGGCGGGCAGATCTCTTGAGGTCAGGAGTTCGAGACCAGCCTGGCCAACATGGTGAAACCCCGTCTCCACCAAAAATACAAAAGTTAGCCAGGTGTGGTGGTGCATGCCAGTAGATCCAAAGAGAATCCCTGGAACATGGGAGGCAGAGGTTTCAGTGAGCCGAGATCACACCACTGCACTCCGGCCTGGGCAACAGAGTAAGACTCCCTCTCAAAAAAAAAAAAAAAAAAAAGACGCAGATACTTTAAGAAAATAAATCCCCTCTTCCCAGCTTCCCAGGTGTTCACTCTAAGCCCCCACAATCGTGGAGTTCAATTGCCTGGGTTCAAATCCTACTGCTGCCACCCACTAGCTGAGCAACCCTGAACAAGTCACTTCTTTCTGTGCCTCATTGTGAGGCTTCTGATAGCACCTACAAGCAGTCAATTGAGCTGTTGATCCCAACTCCTCATTCTCTCATGGTGGTTATTACACATCTGCATCCTTGTCACAGCTTTCTAGTGTGGGGATTGTACTTTCCTATTCCTTGACTTTGGACTTGCTTTAAACAATGAGATAATGGAGAATGTAACTGGATCAGAGGCTTGGAATGTGTTTGCAGGGCCAGACCTGCTTTCCTGTGCTCCGGTGGTCCACCCTGAGAAGAATACATTTCTACCTCATCCAGAGAAGTTTCAGAATGAACACACATGGAGGAAATCTGAACTTGACTTGCTGTCTGGAGCCATGTCACTCCATATACAGCAGGACTCAGAGTTCAGGTGACCCACAGACACATGAGCAAGGTAGGGAAAAATGCTTATTGTTGCAAGCCACTGAATGTTGCAAGATGTTTTGTTACACAGCATTGTTTTGGATGTAGCTGGCTGTTACATGGCCTCAGTGGGTTGGTGTCAAGACTAAAGACAAAGTGTTGTTAAAATAGCACAATTCCTGGGACACAGTAAGAATTCAAAATAGTAGTTCTTATTAGTAATCATTATTATTGCAAGTAGTTTTGTCCATGACAGTCACATAATTGAATGTTTGTTAACATTGAATGTTTGCTACAAGGACGCCAGCAAACTGGAATGTCAGAAACCTACTACAGTCCTTAAAATCACATTCATTCATTCACTCATTCACTCAGCAGACACTCTCCGAACACCTGTTGTGTGCCACTCACAGGGCTGAATGTTGGAACCATTAAGGTCACTAAGACTCAGCTCCCTCCTAAAGAAAGGGACCGTCAAAGTCCCGCCTTGTGACAAGCACGGAGCTGAGCACTTCCCCGTGCCTGTGAGGCCGGTATTACTTATCTCCATTTTTCAGGCCAGGAGACTGAGGCTTACAGAGCAAACACTTAGGAAAAGGCGAAAGCTCATGCCTATTCCATGAGTGTGCACCAGTGCTGATGAATTCAAGTTCATAGTGGGTAGACCCATTAGGGAGGGGCAGTGGGGCAGGGCAAAGGAAGGACACACCTTGTCACTCTCAGCCTCCTGCATGCGAGGAGGGGCTTGGTAAACACTGAGACTCAGCAGCCCCAGGTCCTGCTCCTGCCACTGAAAAGGGCTGCACCTGGGTGCGAGGGAGCCCTGTGGTTCATTGCAGAGGCCTTCAAATTCATTTTGGCAGCCCTGGCTTCAGATGTCTGCCACCTCTGCCACCAGCAACAACCTGCCTCCCACTCTGTGACTTTGACAAATTTAGACTGCTCAGTAACCTGAAATGCATTTCAATTTCATAAATTTAGCAATGCTGCGGTTAGGCAGCTCCCCTTCTGCAGCAATACATCCATTAAGGGCACTTTAAGCCCATTTTGGTATGCTAATCCATCACAAAATGATGTGAAATTTGGGTTCTTGTGAAAATTTCCTACACCTCATCCAAAACCTCTACCAGATTTAGGACAATAACAACTCGCAGTTCCTTAGAGCAGCAGACTTTGGCTCTGCATCAAACCTTCACTGAAAAAAGGAATGGGGCTGGTTTTAAACCGATGTCCAGACTTGTATATTCACGAGAGTTGTCTGCTCTAATGGGCTTCCCCTTAGGGGCAGTTTGCTTGTTCCAAAAGTGCTGCTGCAGCTTTAAGATTTCAGAACTCTGTTCCAGAGCAATGGAATCATGTATATCTCTGTGTTCCCCACCTAACACAGAGCCTGCTAATTTTTTTGAATGACCCGGGTGGAATCACCTGGCTCGATGAGCACTTACTCGTCCATCAGACCTATTTAGCTTCATATGATTTTCACTATGTCCTGATGAAGACTGGAGATCCTAAAATACAGGCAGAAGCCTCTGAAGGAAAATCAGATAAAGACACTCAGTGCCTCTAGTGATGACCCCCTCATCAGAATGGTGCAATGTGTTTATCCTACAGCCTCTGAGGCCGGAAGGAATGTGCACAGGTGATAAAAGAGACATAATGTCATTTTATCACCACCTAAGACTCTGTTGCTACCAATTGTTGAAGGACAGCACCTATTAAGTAGATGTTTTTAGCTGCATAATAGACATTTCGCCAATAAGATAAAGTTTACAGCTGGTGGCGGTCTCACTTACTTGCTTCTGTCATAAGATCTACAACCCATCCAACAGCAAAAATGAGCTGTTGACTTGGTAAATTTAGAGCAGCTTCGCCTGCCCTAGATGTGAAATACCTGAGCCTTCTAAATAAATTTCATTTTCCTGGTTGAGCATTTAATGCAGTGAAATGTTACAAAGCAGTGCTTAGGAGGGTAATAGAAATGAACACCCACAGGCAGACGCTGTGAGCGGCTCATCATGATAGGCACTCCTCCCCCGCCCAGCTTTGCTGCCAGGTCCAACCCAGACCTGCTTCACCCCCGCCACCCCATGCTCTGTGAGTGTCCGCTGTGCACCTGCTCAGGTGCTACCTGTGGGAGAAGTCTCCATGACATCCTGGCTCTTGCTGCTCCTTTACCCCAACTCATTGAGCCACCATCCTCTTCCCAAGCCTTGTTCATCTTGGAAGTACCTGGACAGTTTTCAGAATGCAGATTCCTAGGCCCCAAAACCAGAGAGTCTGTTACACTGGAGTGGGGCCAGTCATCTGAATCAGAGTGTCTGGCGCAGTGCCTGGGCACCTGTGTATTTAACACGCTCCCTCAGCGCCCATGACCTTGAGAGCTGCTGGTTTGGGCCAGTCTCATGTCCCCCTGGGGGGCTGTCACAATAGCCTCCTCCTGCTCCTTTCCCTGCCTCCTCTCCCGACGTCCATTAACTGGTTCTTTCTACTTACACAGCCAGGGTCTTTCCAAGACACAGATCTGATCCTGTCAGCCCCAGTGATTAAACACCTTTGACGCCCATCCTTAGTGCCTCCAGTGCACCAACAAGGTTACCAGCTCCAAGTCCACATTGCCAGGCAGGGTCCAAGGCCGTGCAGCTGTGGTCCTGCCTCTTCCATGGGCCCATCTGCTTCCCTGGCCCCTACACACCCATCAGCTCCATCCACATGGCTTCCCAAAGTGGCTCAGGGGCAATAGACAGGGTGGTTGTGGTAAGATGGGTCCTGTGACCCTGTGACAAGGGCACTGCAGCACGCTGGTGTCCATTTTCAGGGACTATCTGGTCTTGGATGGGGGTTGGCTCCTTAGGAGTTGCTTAGACAAAATTGAAGCCTGCTGTGGGCATGGCTGTGGGTGTGGGTGAGAGCTGGTGGGGGGGGAGCGGTGTGAGCACCTTTCAGGGGTGTGCCCCACCCCCACCAGACCCATGCTAGCTCACCTGAGCACTTGGTACATGGGCTGTAAGCACCCAGTCTCTGGCTCTGACCTCAGCCCCACCCTTCCTTTGCTGCGACCCTCTGTAAGCCTCACATCCCTCCCTGTGACATGAAACATGGAATTGATTCTCTCCTGGGACTGTCCCCTGTCCAGTGTCATCCAGAATCGGTATCACCCAATGTAAGAAGTGAACAGAAAGGGATTTTCTCACTCTCTAGATCGGTCTTCTGTTGCTGAGTAAGAAATTACCAGAAACTTCATGACTTAAAGCAGCATCCATTCTTTTAACCTCACAGCCTGTAGACCAGAAGCCTGGTGCGGTCTCTGCTCTGGGTCTCATAAGAATGAAGGGAAGGTGTTGGTCAGGCTGGACTGGAGCCTGCAGGTCCTGGGGAGGGATGTAAGTCTTTACCAAGTTGGTAAAACTGAGGCCCCCATTTCCTTGCTGGGTGCCAGTGTGGGTGCACTCTATGCTTAGAGGCCGCCTACGTTCCTTCTGTGT